CCCCCCCCTCTTCCCTCACTCCTTTGCATCACTCAATACCCACCTTCTGATTTGATCTTACTCCTCACCATGTTGAAGCGTGTCAACCTCTCGGCTGCCTACGTGCTGCTCAGCACTATCGCGCTCAATGCTCTCGCCTCGCCTACCGATGCCCTCGGTCCAAGGACGGAGAATTTTGGCAGTGGATGGAGAGGTCACATCAGTGCGATCAAGGGCAATGACAGCCCCAATGAGAGGCGTACTACTTATGGTGGTAGCGATGGGGACATCACTAATCTTGAAACTGAGGGACGTATCCACAGACATTCAGACGCTGCCGTTGAGAAGGTGCAAAACGTTTTGCTGCCTCGTTTCACTAAGAGGGCCGAAGAAGTCCCGCAGAAGACAGATCAAGGAGAAGAATCAGATTCCACCGAAGGTGACGATTTCGATCTTTCTCAAAACCTGGCGTACAACCAAACTCATGTTGTGCGCAAAGGCCCGGAGGGCGAGCCTCAAAATCAGAGAGGCACCCTCGGCTCGAGCATCAATGGTAAGAGTCTGGTGCGAAACCTCTCGAACTCTACACGACCTGTAGGCTGAAATGCCATCTTGCCACGCAATCTCTTTAGGTTTCCTTCACGGCTTCGGCACTGGTCTCGGCGCTGGCAGCGGTATCAACTGGCAGCGCGGAGCTGTTGGCGGTGAGTCAGGCGAGGAGCATGGTGAGGCACTCAGTGTTGACAATATCTCCGTATACCATCAGGTGGTTGGAACGCCGGCATCGAAAAGTCTGGTGTTGGCTTTGGCGGCGGCTACACTCTCACCCCACACAATTTTACCTTTGGGCAAGGAAGCCGCTTTGGGCCCATCAGCATCAATATTAGCTGTAAGTGGCTGGCTGAGAAACATCACGATTTGCCCCCTCCCCACGCTCTACAGAGGTGAATGAGGCTGACGCTCGGCGCGCGATGTGCCGTCCTGCTTTCAGTCAACATCACCGACGCCGGCGACATTCAGCTGCACTTCGATACCACTTCTCATGCTCCTCTCGTCTGCAAGAGCAGAGTTGCCCGACCCAACGACGGTGATACCAAGCAGCCAGAGGTGGTCACCGAGACGGAAACCGGCAACGAGACTCCCGGCCGTCGCGATGTCGGCACCGGCGACGAAGCTCCATTAGCTCTTCCTCTCGCCTTCACTTCTTACGACTGCCTTATCGCTCAACACAAGTACGACGGTGGACCAGAGAAGCAGCTACAGAAGGAGGAGCAGCCTGAAAAGACGAAAACGACGACTCCAAGTGACGAGCCGCAACCGACTGACGACGCTTGAGATCGAGTTTTCTCGGCCCTGGCTTGCGTGCATCAAACAGATGACATCGAGATAGTATCTGACCTTCGTCCAGGTAGACCCCTCGATTTGTCTCTGAAAAAATTGTCCCGTGACATGAGTCTGCGAAAGTTTCATCAGCTCCATCCGCCGCCGTTGTTCCAATCACGGGCGACCGTTTGCCTGTACCCTACGCTCATTTCTTACCCTTTTGCGCAAGCAACCGACACTGCGTCTCAAAAGCGAACGCCCTACAGAGAATAAGATGCCCATTGTCTTTGATCTGAGCGAGCGCTGAGCGTATCAGAGGGGCCACCACGT